CATAAATCACTTATTCAGGGAGCTTTACTCAAAGCAAGTAATAATGGTAACATACAAAAAAGCACCAAGTATTTTGCTAACTACATTATTTACTTCATTAAGCGAAATCAATGACACATTTCAGCAACAACATCTCCCCAAAAGTAATCTCAGATTATGGACAGTTTTTGTACTAGAGAAACACATTCCTCTTATGAAATGTTCATAAATGCAGCACAGTGAAGACTCTCAGATCTTCCCATATAAAGTACTTACCATTTTCCTTGAGAGTTTCTTTTGTTTTCTGTACTGGCTGGAATGCTGAAGAACCTGAAGATCCCAGGATTTTTGCTGTGCCATTACTTGTCAAGTTTTCTGGCTCCTTCTTAGTGGTCCCTTCTTTCTTAAGGTCTGCAAGTTTAACGCCATAGCCTGTTCCCTGAACTGGTTTTGGTTTTATTTCTGCTGATGATGAAAGTTTAGTAGTGAGGACTTTATAATGAATAAAAAAAATCTAGTCAGAACAAGAGTATGAACCCAGATTGTAATATAACAGCATGAACCCAGATTGTAATATAACAACATGAACCCAGATTGTAATATAACAACATGAACCCAGATTGTAATATAACAACATGAACCCAGATTATAACAACATGAACCCAGATTGTAATATAACAACATGAACCCAGATTGTAATATAACAGCATGAACCCAGATTGTAATATAACAACATGAACCCAGACTGTAATGTAACAGCATGAACCCAGATTGTAATATAACAGCATGAATCCAGATTATAATGTAACAACATGAACCCAGATTGTAATATAACAGCATGAACCCAGATTGTAATATAACAGCATGAACCCAGATTGTAATATAACAACATGAACCCAGAATGTAATATAACAGCATGAGCCCAGATTGTAATATAACAGCATGAGCCCAGATTGTAATATAACAACATGAACCCAGATTGTAATATAACAACATGAACCCAGATTGTAATATAACAACATGAACCCAGATTGTAATATAACAGCATGAGCCCAGATTGTAATATAACAGCATGAGCCCAGATTGTAATATAACAACATGAACCCAGATTGTAATATAACAACATGAACCCAGATTGTAATATAACAGCATGAGCCCAGATTGTAATATAACAACATGAACCCAGATTGTAATATAACAGCATGAACCCAGATTGTAATATAACAACATGAACCCAGAATGTAATATAACAGCATGAGCCCAGATTGTAATATAACAGCATGAGCCCAGATTGTAATATAACATGAACCCAGATTGTAATATAACAACATGAACCCAGATTGTAATATAACAGCATGAACCCAGATTGTAATATAACAGCATGAACCCAGATTGTAATATAACAGCATGAACCCAGATTGTAATATAACAACATGAACCCAGATTGTAATATAACAGCATGAACCCAGATTGTAATATAACAGCATGAGCCCAGATTGTAATATAACAACATGAACCCAGAATGTAATATAACAGCATGAGCCCAGATTGTAATATAACAGCATGAACCCAGATTGTAATATAACAGCATGAACCCAGATTGTAATATAACAGCATGAATCCAGATTATAATGTAACAACATGAACCCAGATTGTAATATAACAGCATGAACCCAGATTGTAATATAACAGCATGAACCCAGATTGTAATATAACAACATGAACCCAGATTGTAATATAACAGCATGAGCCCAGATTGTAATATAACAGCATGAACCCAGATTGTAATATAACAGCATGAACCCAGATTGTAATATAACAACATGAACCCAGATTGTAATATAACAGCATGAACCCAGATTGTAATATAACAGCATGAGCCCAGATTGTAATATAACAGCATGAACCCAGATTGTAATATAACAGCATGAACCCAGATTGTAATATAACAGCATGAGCCCAGATTGTAATATAACAGCATGAGCCCAGATTGTAATATAACAGCATGAGCCCAGATTGTAAATATAACAGCATGAACCCAGATTGTAATATAACAGCATGAACCCAGATTGTAATATAACAGCATGAACCCAGATTGTAATATAACAACATGAACCCAGATTGTAATATAACAGCATGAACCCAGATTGTAATATAACAACATGAACCCAGATTGTAATATAACAGCATGAGCCCAGATTGTAATATAACAGCATGAGCCCAGATTGTAATATAACAGCATGAACCCAGATTGTAATATAACAGCATGAACCCAGATTGTAATATAACAGCATGAACCCAGATTGTAATATAACAGCATGAACCCAGATTGTAATATAACAGCATGAACCCAGATTGTAATATAACAACATGAACCCAGATTGTAATATAACAGCATGAGCCCAGATTGTAATATAACAGCATGAGCCCAGATTGTAATATAACAGCATGAACCCAGATTGTAATATAACAGCATGAACCCAGATTGTAATATAACAACATGAACCCAGATTGTAATATAACAGCATGAGCCCAGATTGTAATATAACAGCATGAACCCAGATTGTAATATAACAGCATGAACCCAGATTGTAATATAACAGCATGAACCCAGATTGTAATATAACAGCATGAACCCAGATTGTAATATAACAGCATGAACCCAGATTGTAATATAACAGCATGAACCCAGATTGTAATATAACAGCATGAACCCAGATTGTAATATAACAACATGAGCCCAGATTGTAATATAACAGCATGAGCCCAGATTGTAATATAACAGCATGAGCCCAGATTGTAATATAACAGCATGAACCCAGATTGTAATATAACAGCATGAACCCAGATTGTAATATAACAGCATGAACCCAGATTGTAATATAACAGCATGAACCCAGATTGTAATATAACAGCATGAACCCAGATTGTAATATAACAGCATGAACCCAGATTGTAATATAACAGCATGAACCCAGATTGTAATATAACAGCATGAGCCCAGATTGTAATATAACAGCATGAGCCCAGATTGTAATATAACAGCATGAACCCAGATTGTAATATAACAGCATGAACCCAGATTGTAATATAACAGCATGAACCCAGATTGTAATTAACAGCATGAACCCAGATTGTAATATAACAGCATGAACCCAGATTGTAATATAACAGCATGAACCCAGATTGTAATATAACAGCATGAACCCAGATTGTAATATAACAGCATGAACCCAGATTGTAATATAACAGCATGAACCCAGATTGTAATATAACAGCATGAACCCAGATTGTAATATAACAGCATGAGCCCCGACTGTAATATAAAAGCATTAGTCCAGATTGCTCCATGGTCAGTGATATACAAAGCCTAAAGCATAAACAGTGTGTATTACTGTAAACCATTTTACAACATGACTTCACACTGCCCAATTTTGTTGTAATGCAGTTGATAAAGTGCAGCCAAATAGTAGAAGAGCATGAGAATCTTGATATTATGCACTGTCAAGTGTTAAAATATCAGCTAGCATAAAAAATATTGGTACTACATATCACAAAATCTGAGTACTACACTCCATGGTACATAACTCTTCCCTTCCACTAACAACGCAAGCAACCTATAGATGGAATCTGAAAATGTCCACCTCACTCAATGTTTATCAAGCTATTTTGGATATTTTCATCACTATCTGATCTCTGTATATTACCCATAATACCAAAGAGAAATATTAGTGATGCTGGAGGTATTAACCCTTTCAGGGTCGATAGGCCCTCTCCCAGACTTGTTCTCAGGGTCAACAAATTTTCAAAAAAAAAAAAAAAAAAAAAATTTTTCTTATGAAAAGATAAGAGAATCTTTTCCCGATCATAATGACACCAAAAGTATGAAATTTGATGGAAAACTTACAGAATTATGCTCTCGCGAAGTTAGCGGTCTCGATGATGTTTACGCATCGGCAGTTTTGCCCACTTCGAGCCCTATTTTCGGCCAATTCCAGTGTACTAGTTGACAAAAATCATAACTATTTCGCTAGAACTCCATTTTTTCTATTGAATGAGTACAAGAAACCACCCATTTAACCGATTTCAACTATCCAATAAAGTGGTCAGAATTTAGCAATTTTGCCAATTTCACAAATTTCAAAAGATGCCAATTTCCAAATTTTTTTTTTATTATTATCACACCGGCCGATTCCCACCAAGGCAGGGTGGCCCGAAAAAGAAAAACTTTCACCATCATTCACTCCATCACTGTCTTGCCAGAAGGGTGCTTTACACTACAGTTTTTAAACTGCAACATTAACACCCCTCCTTCAGAGTGCAGGCACTGTACTTCCCATCTCCAGGACTCAAGTCCGGCCTGCCGGTTTCCTGAATCCCTTCATAAATGTTACTTTGCTCACACTCCAACAGCACGTCAAGTATTAAAAACCATTTGTCTCCATTCACTCCTATCAAACACGCTCACGCATGCCTGCTGGAAGTCCAAGCCCCTCGCACAACAAAACCTCCTTTACCCCCTCCCTCCAACCCTTCCTAGGCCGACCCCTACCCCGCCTTCCTTCCACTACAGACTGATACACTCTTGAAGTCATTCTGTTTCGCTCCATTCTCTCTACATGTCCGAACCACCTCAACAACCCTTCCTCAGCCCTCTGGACAACAGTTTTGGTAATCCCGCACTCTCCTCTAACTTCCAAACTACGAATTCTCTGCATTATATTCAACCACACATTTCCCTCAGACATGACATCTCCACTGCCTCCAGCCTTCTCTCGCTGCAACATTCATCACCCACGCTTCACACCCATATAAGAGCGTTGGTAAAACTATACTCTCATACATTCCCTCTTTGCCTCCAAGGACAAAGATTCTTTGTCTCCACAGACTCCTAAGTGCACCACTCACTCTTTTTCCCTCATCAATTCTATGATTCACCTCATCTTTTCATAGACCATCCGCTGACACGTCCACTCCCAAATATCTGAATACGTTCACCTCCTACATACTCTCTCCCTCCAATCTGATATTCAATCTTTCATCACCTAATCTTTTTGTTATCCTCATAACCTTACTCTTTCCTGTATTCACCTTTAATTTTTCTTCTTTTGCACACCCTACCAAATTCATCCACCAATCTCTGCAACTTCTCTTCAGAATCTCCCAAGAGCACAGTGTCATCAGCAAAGAGCAGCTGTGACAACTCCACTTTGTGTGTGATTCTTTATCTTTCAACTCCACGCCTCTTGCCAAGACCCTCGCATTACTTCTCTTACAACCCCATCTATAAATATATTAAACAACCACGGTGACATCACACATCCTTGTCTAAGGCCTACTTTTACGGGGAAAAATTTCCCTCTTTCCTACATACTCTAACTTGAGCCTCACTATCCTCGTAAAAACTCTTCACTGCTTTCAGTAACCTACCTCCTACACCATACACTTGCAACATCTGCCACATT